TGAAGGCATCACGTTGGAAACATGGAACAGACAAGATTGATGGTTTCTAAAACAAATAATACACGAACTGCTAATTACCTGCGAAACACCAAGAGGAGCCTTATGAACTACACGAAGGCCATGTAATACCAGCCCTCTTCGCTTTCAGTTCTAAAAACTGAAGGAAATATTTTAAAAGATGACAATACAATAAATTCAAACCCTGCTTTCTTGTAGCTTGGTCTGTCACAGATGTATTATCCCAAGGTTAATGAGACACAAGCAGTGACCTGAAGTTCTCCTTTCCCTGAGACTTCCACAAGCATCTTCCTTGCTCTCCCTTTGGACTCCCTGTTGCCTATGCTCACACAACAGCCTCTCTCCATCCTTCAAGACAGGTTTCTCTCTTGAAGCCACCCGCTCATTACCATGACCCTCAAAGACCATTATTATCTCTGACACCGCAGTTCCGGCCCAGCTGACACCACCCCAAGGATGGTAGAGGGCAGAGGTTCAGGACCTGCACAGGAAAGGGGGAGTAATTGAGAGATCCGTTGCAGAATTATTTTCCTAAGGCACACAGGCTGGTGTGAGTCTATATCCAAACAGTATGTGAGAGGCATAAACACAGAAAAGGAAACTCTAAGCCAAAACTCAACTTTGGCCCCCATCCTGCCAAGGAAACTGTGTTCCTTTACCCTTAACACGGCTCAGCCAAGCCAGGCTATTCCCTATTCAAGCAGGCTGAAATCAACTTTGGTGCATATGGTGACAGTGTTGCCAGCAATACTTTCCATTATCAACACTAACCTTAAAAACATTTTATACATGAAAAATCTACTGTTTAATTTACTATTATCAAATAAACTTGGGGGTTTTTTTATTCCATTTTAAGGATTTTGCCTACTTTACAACAATGCTTCTCCAATTTACTCAAGTACAGTATCTTAAGAATTGCTTCTTTATCCTTTTATGCGTTTTCCTCCCCTCAAGTTCATGTTGTCTATGCATTTAAGTGTTCAAAAGGAGAGGAGCAAGGACCTTCCAGGACAGATTACACATGGGGTCCTACAGCAATGCAGACCAGACCCAGCTGTTACATTCTCTCAGCACTTGCTAAGTATGCCAGCACCCTACAATCTGACTTTCAATTACCAGACCACCAGTAAATGGTCCACAACAGATCTCCAAGGCTAATTTGAAGCATTGGAACTGAAACAAAAAGAAACACAGAAGGTCCAGAACAATTTTTTTTAAGATGGGCGGTACCACAAACAGGTCTGTTACACATGCTCCTCAGAGAAAACACAACATAACCAGAATCTTGTTTAGAGGCAAAAGACAAAATTTGTCCTTGCTGTAGTAATGAAAATATTTGATCAACTGCAAAATATAACTAGAAAGAAGAAAGCTGAAAATTCACACTTAGCTGACTCCAATATGCAATTTAGTGCAGTTTATAACCTCAGTGCCTTTTTTTTTTTTAAAAAACGCCAGTGCTTTCTGTACACGCCCAAGTATAGCTAACACATCTCTAGGTAATTTGCTTTTCTAGTGATGAGTCATAGAATCATTAATCATTAAGGTTAGAAAAGACCTCTAAGATCAGAGTCCAAGCGTCAACCCAACACCACCATGTCCACTAAACCATGTCCCTAAGCACTGCATCTACACATCTTTTAAATACTTCCAGGGATGGGGACTCAACCACTTCCCTAGGCAGCCTGTTCCAAGGTTTAACCACTCCTTCAGTAAAGAAATTTTTCCTTACATCCAATCTAAACCTCCCCTGGCGCAACTTGAGGCCATTTCCTCTCGTCCTTTCGCCAGTTACTTGGGAGAAGAGACCGACACCCACCTCGCTACAGCCTCCTTTCAGGTAGTTGTAGAGAGTGATGAGGTCTCCCCTCAGCCTCCTTTTCTCCAGGCTAAACAACCCCAGTTCCCTCAGCCGCTCCTCATAAGACTTGTTCTCCAGACCCTTC